TAAAGAAAAACCAGAAAATTAATAAGGAAAAAAATCGGAAAAAAATCAGAGAACAGCAGAAAACTTCAGAAGAAAATTAAGCAAAAACAGGAAAATAGGTGTACGCTTGAATTTATAGAAAAGGACCCCTCGCTGCCTTCATGCTTCTGCCACCATCAGCCCACGCACACGCGTCTCTTTGCATCGAAACAAACAGAATCTAAGTGCCCCTGGTCTATTTGCAGGGGGCGGCGGGGCATGGGGGGCGCACGTACCTTCCACGGAGTCACCCGGCTCTCCGTGCAGCACGAGCAGCGCCTCGAGCTTGAGGCACGACACGGGCCCCCAGCGCGGGACGCACGCCAGGAACAGGCGGACCTGGAACAATGCGGATCAATGCACTACAAGCGGGTATCGGAACAACCACCTGAGCGAGCGAGAGAGAAAAGGAAAGTGACTGGACGGCGACCATCTCGGCGGAGACAATGCTCGTGAAACGCGGCCGCCGCACCTGCCCTGCCCCAGGTTGACGACCGAGAGCGCTGTCATTAAAAACGGCTGCATTATTCCACCCGGGGGATGACGCGACGGGTCGAGCCCGGGGCCCGGGGCCCGGGGCGGGCCTCGGCCGTCAACCTGGCGCGGGCAGCGGCTACACCGGCCCAGCGCTCGCACCTGCGTCGTGATGGTGCGGATGATCCCGGGGTCCTCGGCGCCGAGCTGCTGCTCCTCCGGCACCTCCTCGTCGTGGCCGAGCCTCCCTCTCGAGTCGTCCAGGGCGAAGCTGGAGGAGGACGCCGTGGTGGGCGCGGGCGTCGGGGCGGGCGGCCCGAGCTGGCGCGCGGCGCCGGGCCGCGGGGTGAGGGCGATACTCCGCGGCGCCGCGCTGCCGGGCGTCGCGGCGATACCCCTCGCGGCCAGCACGGCCAGCATGACGCAGGCGTGACACACCCCCGACATGGCGGCGGCGACAGGTCGTCGGGGCGGAGCGGCTGGAGCTACTCGGGGGTCATCGCCCCACCCTGCCCTAGTCGCCGTCCCAGCGCAACAGTCTTTCTTCTCTTCTTCTCCTTCACTCGATTATTGTTTTTCTCGCACGACCTGCGAGTGACGCCAAAGAAAAAGGACGAATCAATTAAATGGTCTCAACGCCCTGGCGGCGTTGCCCCCGCAGCGGGGAGAGTCCTTGTGCTCCGTTCCCTGGGCGCCGAGCTTTTAGGAAAACGGATGCTGAGACATTGGACGAAGAAAAAACCTAAGCTTGCGCTAACGTGGGAGAAGATGATATAGCTTTAATTTTCAGTTACTGTGCTTTTAAGGCGATGATGACCGATCTACTTGTGTTTAACCAAGCATATCACCGGATAGTGCTCC